GGGGTGTTAGCTCATGCCGGAGAACTATTAAAGCCGCACCCAGATCTCGAGCCTCCAACAGCTCCAGAAACTTTTGTTGTCGGAGATAGAAAAGCATTTCGTTCTTTTCGGCATGCTCCACTAAGACTAATCTCTCCTTGGTGGGATGCTGCTCGGTGCGACGTCCTCCCCTGCCATTATCCCGTTCATGGTGAAATGAGTGGACCAGAGTTTGTTCCGCTTCAGCCCATCGTCCCTCAAGAACCGCGTTCCTAAACGTAGCAACCGCCGGGCTTTCCAGTTGATAACCGCTCTCCTTACTCAACAATGATGCCGCTCCGTCATACCCAAGCTCGTAGAGACTCTGTATCAAGATCCTTGTGACCTCTTCCCGATCGTGACCGAAGTAGGTAGAGGAATTGAGCCTAGACTTTTGCGATCCATTCGTATGCAAGTCTCCATTGGAGGTTGTATGCAAGGCTTGGCCGTTCATCGACAACGGAAATGCTGCCTTTTGCGATGGAGATGCAGGCGAACCATTCAGCGTATGGGAAGAGCCATTTGTACTAGATATCCCATCGGGACGCATATTTGCCAGGCGCCTGCGCTTGGGAGATGGTGTGTAGCCCGCCGATGAGTCGTGTGGTTGGATTGCTTGATGGCCGGCCTCGCTTGCCGTACCTCCCGCAAGACCTCCCGTACCCTCTGTTATCGGACCTCGAGAGGTAGGTGTTATACTTCGGCGACGGCGGCGAGATGATCTGGATGAGGTGCCACTAGGACTTCTTGTGCCAAACTGATCACCGATGACCGAGTTATGGAGGGACGCTGCGGATAGGCCGCTCGTGGCGGAAGTGGTGCGAAGTGGCGGCGGGGATGCGAGGGGTGGAGGGGGATCGGGGTGGTCGGGAGCGGCGGAGGAGGGTATATATGGAGGAGGATTGTCTGCCAGTTCGAATGTTTCTGGATCTGCCCTTTCACCTGGCTCTGTTGGAGAACCAGGGGAGCAGACCTCTATCAGTGGCGGTTCACTGATGTTCGCCGATGGTCAGTGTACTGTATGTACGTCTGCAAGCTTGTCACGAGCCTCAGCAGTCTGCCAATCTACTTGTTCAGGAACATATGTTAGTATAATCTGTATCACATGGCGTTCAGATGAGCTCTACCATGCGTGTTGGTCGGGAGCAAAGTGCTTCTTACAGGAGACGAGCGGAGAGGTCTTATCGGGCTTGGACGGGGGTTAACTGACTCCTCCCACGAGAGGTCACCGGATAATGGGGAGTGGAAGAGCTGAAAAGGTGTGAAAGGGGGCACCAAAAACAGGTTTAAAAATGGCCGGAATGACCAAGCCGGAGATATGTAAGAGCCTAGTTAGTGGAAAGGTATATTATGGACGAGGGGAAGAGAAAAGTTTAGGTGGGTTGATTGAGGAACAACTGGAGGATTGGAGCGGAGGTTGAGGTCGAGCACAACGGCGGCTGCTGGGTCTCACTGACTGACTGATGATGGGCTGAACTGTCTTCTTTCCGTGGGGCTAAGCAGCCCCCGACAATCAATGCTTATTGAATGCCTGCTTGCCTGTCAATCCCACCCCCTCCGCCCCCCGTGCTCCTTCTTTCGATTACCCACACCTGCCCAATTCATCAGACCCATAACCCATCATTTCGTTTGCCCATTTCCAGTTTTGTACCTGGTCTCGAGGTTAAACATGCACAGAGTTTCAATCATCTGAGTAGCCGAGAGACTCGAAAGAAAGAGTTTTGTGGAAGCCGTTTGCTACCGAATCGAGTTAACCTACGGTACTTGCTACTATGAATGACGATATCGATAATACATACGGGGGTATGACGATACATGGGGAAAAGGCACTCATTCCCGTAGTATAACTCAAAACATGATTCATATGTGATCAGCGATCAACACCAGTTCAGTATGTATGCCTCCTACTAACTTACCTTGAGCTTCTTACTATATCTTACACGCTACCTTTGTGTTCCTTATCTTCTGAAACTGTAAGTCATGTACAATGGTTATGGGTTTCAGAACCAGCGATGTCCGAAAGCCCTTCCCAAGCTGGATTGGAGCAGAGATGCTTGCATCACCTGGACCCTCAAGACCTCTTCGATCAAGCAAGCAGCTGACACGCAGCTAACTCGGTTTCAATATACTCGCAAATGACACCAACCGATAATTATCGATTCTGAGAAAACACGAATTGGAGGGGCAAGACCACAGATCCGCAACCAATATTGGCCACAGATCATCCGCAGCCAGACACATCACCTGCACACTTGTCCGGCCACATGGAATGAGTTGTTCTCATGCCTCTTGTCTCAGGGGCACGGTGCTCTCATGAGCAATCGCTGATCGGATGCCTTATCTGCTTCTCTGACGGCTAGATATCACAACCACCGAGAATACTACTATGTAGAAAAGTAGGCGTGCCATGCAGGAGCCCGAGTCCGCCACTACGTTTTATTTGGCATAGTTTCATGCCGTAGATGTACCCAACCGCCCGTTATGGCAAGCAAGTAAATAATGTGAAGAGAGACTCAAAGGGCTGTATGGTACTGCAAGCTAGTTACAGCCCATGTGGACGGGGTTATACTGGTCAATTCCGAGCCACAAGCCTCTTCTTTCAAGTGTCATTGCTCGAGGGAGGTACATAAAGATATACTCCGTAGTTTACAGGCAATGTCGTCACTGCTGTGGTTGAATGGCTTTGCATACCTCCTTGCAGAACAAATGATTTGACAAGCACCTCAACTACGCTGCATAGTTAGAGTGAGACTCGTGTTTATACTTCAACGTAGGTATACGACATCACGGCGGTAAAGAACTATCTCTCCGTACTTCGATTGGGATGAATTTCTTTTACAAACTAAACGAAACAACAGACTCTTCCGGAGTCAGAAACGAAATGTTTGTCATTGTCTGGTCGAACGCCCGGCATCTCTCACCGCTGGTTTTGATGCATGATCCCGTCGGAAGTCCCTGGTGTCCATAATGCTCCGCAGATAGCCATGGTAAGTCGGCTTGTTAAAAGACATGTTTGCCCGCAGCCAAATATGAACAACAGCTATCTCTGGCATCTCCCATACATACTTATTGGTGCTTCCTCCGCCCATCATTAGAGTTGCAGGTTGAGTCTACAATGCACAGCATTAAGCCGTCGTCACTATGCTCTCCTGGCTTATATATTCGATGTCTCATAACAATATACCTAGTTCGGCGGTTGTAAGCTTTATGATAACTTGCATGCTGAATACCATGGGAAGGTACGAGAACCAGAAGCACCATGTACATAACATATATCATATCGTCGAGAATTCGCCCTAGACACAACACAACTACTGCGTTATGTTCAAGGGAATTGTATGGATTGACTTGGTTTTCTTTCCGCTGGGCTGAATTACAATGGCCAAGCTTGTTTTAAGCTATGAAACCCCGGACCTTATATCAGAAGGAGCTACGTTGACATTCACAAATACAGGACTATATGTATAAATCTGGCTGAGAACTTCAACTGAGACCGCCTGAAATAACGGTTGTTTCCTCGTACTCGGGAGTACAACCATTGGCTCTGCTCAGCCTGGGCCTCACTGATGTTATGTGATGCTCCACGCCGTCGTCTACCCCGGGCCTGGACCTCAAGACAACCACTTACCCCAGTGCAAGTTCTATATTGAAGTTAGGAACTTGGAGGACGATGCAATCACTACCAATCGGACAGTAAGCCCGGATCTATGTGCGACACGTGCGATCGGTTCGGCTTGACTCGGGTCTTTGTCATTCCTATCCATGACATAATCCGTCAACTGACCTCATCATGATTCAAGCCACGGCACCTACAAGTATATATAGAGACAACTTCTTCGTCCCCAAGGTTCCCAGTCTAACATAAGCGTTTAACCCAAACCAATCAGTCTATCAGTCAAACGATCAAACTAATACATTTACCCTCCGATTTCACGAAAATCTCGAACAAGATGGGTTGTGATTGCGGTTCCGGAAACACCTGCGGATGCAGTGGACCTAGTAGTTGCACCTGCGGAAGCTCGTGCTCTTGCAAGAATTGCGGCGTATGTTGAACTCCTCTCTCCATGACTTCTACAAGAGACTTAAAATATACATAGAAGTAAATTCTTGCACCTCTATTGAATCCAGATAAAACTGGCTGCATGAGTGATGAATCATGACGACGATTAATGGTGGAGGATGCGATTTGCAAAAGGCGTGGAAATGTTCTTCTGGACCATGTACCTTAGGATTGAATGAATTATATCCAACCTGTAATCTTTCCTCGCCTAACGAAGACCATTATGTCCAAGATCGCGTAGGCTGCACTTCAAAGACAACAAGGGCCAGATTATCGATCAGCAGGTAATCTGTAGAGGCGGCAGACATGTCCGGTGGCGAAGGCCTTTCATCGAGTGTTATAGACTCCGATGACCTCCTCTGTAGCGTAATCTTTTTTTGCCATTAGGTCATTGAATGTTCTGTTTAGATTGTTTGTATTATAAGTACTGTAAGGTCGAAAAAGCACCGAGTTTAGCTGTGAGGCCATTGACGATGGCGAGCTAGTAATCCCATTGAACGGTGATCGTCCGTGCGGTCTCCAACAACGGCTGAGTAAACAGGTAGCCTGCACCGCCCCAGATAACCTTAGGAGAGCTTGGAAGTCGAGACCTGAGAAAACGCCGATTCAATTGGGATTATGGTAGCAATAATTCACTTATAGTCGAATGTTAGGACTAGGCGTGCCTCGACTTCGCACACGACCCTCGTTGCTGGATCTGATTGCCTGTCAAAAGGCTGCAGTGTTGTCGGAAGTTGGTTCGAGGTCGTCATCACCGCCTGAGCTAGAAGGCCAAAACCAGCAGTTGGAACTGCCACCGCTCCCCGTGTCGCCCACTTCATCATCCTGCAGCGACAACAGCCTCTCCTCCCCTCTTTCTCCCATCCACCACCGCCGCCCCTCTTCCTCCACTCTCTCCATCCACGACCATACTTCACACACTATGGCCCCCTCCGCTGATGATGGCGAGAACCAGCATGGTTCCGTCTTCTCCGTCTCCGGACCCGTCGTCGTGGCCGAGCATATGATCGGTTGTGCTATGTACGAGTTGGTAGGTTCTCCCCGCAGCTCCTTCTACCCCATAACAGTGCACGGGGGACTGGAATGTCCATACAACCCCACACTCAGCATTTATCGTATCTGCTAACCTCCGCAGTGTCGAGTCGGTCATGATCTGCTTGTTGGAGAAGTCATTCGTATCGATGGAGATAAGGCCACCATTCAGGTCTACGAGGAAACCGGTACAGCACCATTCATCTCCCGCTTACCATCATCTCAATCTCTAACAATTTTCGCCATCAGCTGGCTTGACGGTTGGCGACCCCGTTCAGCGTACAGGAAAGCCTCTTTCGGTTGAGCTCGGTCCCGGTCTGATGGAAACGATTTACGATGGTATTCAGCGCCCCCTGAAGGATATCTCCGAACAGTCCGAGGGCATCTACATTCCCCGTGGTATTGCAGTCAATGCCTTGGATCGTAAGAGAAAATGGGACTTCAAGCCTGGGAAATACAAGGTCGGCGATCACATCACTGGCGGTGACATTTGGGGTACCGTTTTCGAGAATAGCTTGGTGAACGACCACAAGATCATCCTTCCTCCCCGCGCGAGGGGTACTATCACCAGGATCGCCGAAGCTGGTAGCTACACGGTTGAGGAGAAACTTCTTGAAATCGAGTTCAATGGTGTGAAGACCGAGCACAGTATGATGCACACCTGGCCCGTCCGTGTGCCCAGACCCGTGAACGAGAAGCTGGCCTCTGACTCTCCGTTCATTGTCGGCCAAAGAGTCTTGGATTCTCTTTTCCCCAGTGTCCAGGGTGGTACCGTCTGTATTCCCGGCGCCTTCGGATGCGGTAAGACTGTTATTTCTCAAAGTGTGTCCAAGTTCTCCAACAGTGATATTATCGTCTACGTCGGTTGCGGCGAGCGCGGTAATGAGATGGCTGAAGTGTTGATGGATTTCCCCGAGGTCTGTCACTTCCCCCGCAAGAACCCCATCAATTACTGATCAATGTATCTGTAGCTTTCCATCGACATTGACGGCCGCAAGGAGCCTATCATGAAGCGTACCTGCCTGATCGCCAACACCTCCAACATGCCTGTCGCCGCCCGTGAAGCCTCTATCTATACCGGTATTACGATTGCCGAATACTTCCGTGACCAAGGAAAGGACGTGGCTATGATGGCGGATTCCAGTTCTCGTTGGGCCGAGGCTCTCCGTGAGATTTCCGGTCGGTTGGGAGAGATGCCTGCTGATCAGGGTTTCCCCGCCTACCTGGGTGCTAAGCTTGCCTCCTTCTATGAGCGTGCCGGAAGGAGTATCGCTCTCGGAAGCCCCGAGAGAACCGGTAGTGTCAGTATTGTCGGTGCCGTCAGCCCTCCGGGTGGTGATTTCTCGGACCCTGTTACCAGCAGCACTCTCGGTATCGTCCAGGTTTTCTGGGGTCTGGACAAGAAATTGGCTCAGCGCAAGCACTTCCCTTCGATCAATACGTCGATCTCCTACAGCAAGTATACCACGGTTCTGGACCGGTACTACGAGAAGCATCACCCCGAGTTCCCTCGTCTGCGTGACCAGATTCGTGAGCTTTTGACCAAGTCAGAAGATCTGGACCAGGTGGTGCAGTTGGTTGGTAAGGCGGCATTGGGTGACTCGGATAAGATCACCCTGGATGTGGCTGCCATGGTCAAGGATGACTTCCTGCAACAGAACGGCTACAGTGACTACGATCAGTTCTGTCCTCTGTGGAAGACCGAGTACATGATGAAGGCCTTCATGGGCTACCATGACGAAGCGCAGAAGGCCGTTGCCCAAGGTCAGAATTGGGCCAAGGTTCGCGACGCCACGGGTGATATCCAGACCGCTCTGCGGAACATGAAGTTCGAAGTGCCAGACAACGAGGCGGAGGTGTCTAACAAGGTGAGTCCGATCATCTTGCGTTCCACAATGTAGTTTCGCTAACTCCATTCTAGTACGAGAAGATCCTCCAAACCATGTCGGAGCGTTTCGCTTCGGTGTCGGATGAGTAGAAGGTATCAACATGGCCGGGAGATGATCTCCAGGGTCGTGTCATCATTTCTTTCCTTTGAATTTCAAGAGCTTTGTAGCATAGCAAATTCCCATTATCTGTAGTTATTGCAGTTTCGCTGAAGACCTTCCAGAATATTCTTTTCGCCCAACGATGATAAATTTTGAGCCCATTGAGTCAGTGGTCAGGCAGCATCATTGTTTGGCCCGTTTGGGTGGCCAGAAGCACATGACGCGTACTACTGAATTCGTGGCTTTGCATTATGACATTCAAGAGAAAGAAGTTTTACAGCTACTTCAACTGTGTACTCGTAAGAATACGTTGATTAACTGAAGCTGCTACTTGAGACCGAACAACTGAACCGCCATCATTGGCGTGATTCTTTATGCTCCTGTGGCTTTGTAGTTGCAGTTGTATCGATCTTTATCTCACTGATCTGGGCCGAAGTGAAAGGCTACACTTGGCACTTCCCGTCGCCGCCGCCGCCTTCGCTCACTCCGACACTCTCCCCCCTTCAACTTTACCCCCCCCCCAAACCCACCATTCACAGCTACTACGCCTAACAGACATTCATTCATACACTCGATTCCATACACTTGGCTGCTATCTACTTCCAAGATAAAGCTTCCTTTTTGTAATTTGGAGCGATTCCCTAATCATCATTGCCAGCCATGGCAAGCCCAACTGGCTTCTCGTGCGCAATCCCCCCTCCCCCTTGGGCCCTCGTGCCCTCGATGCTAGGTTGACTGACTGACTTTGCTTGTCGGACAGGATCAATGTCAATGATCCCAGCTTGATCTCCCTGGTCAACAAGCTGCAGGATGTCTTCGCTACCGTCGGAGTAAGTGATTGCTGTTTCGAGGAACTTTCCTGCGGCCCCTCCGCATACTGACACCGCTTGTTCTGTTTAGGTTCACAACCCCATCGACCTGCCTCAAATCGCCGTCGTCGGCTCGCAGTCTAGCGGAAAGAGTTCCGTCTTGGAAAATATTGTTGGCCGCGATTTGTAAGTGACCCTTACTGTCACCATCGCATTCCCTGTCGCATTCGCTGACTGTCACCCCTGCTCCCCCCTAGCCTCCCCCGTGGTTCCGGAATTGTCACTCGCAGACCCCTCATTCTGCAGCTGATCAACAAGCCCGCTGCACAGACCAACGGTGTGAAGGAAGAAGAGTTGGAAGGCACGGACAAGGAGGCAAATGTGGACGAGTACGGCGAGTTCCTGCACATTCCCGGCCAAAAGTTCTACGACTTCAACAAGATCCGTGATGAAATCGTGCGCGAAACCGAACAGAAAGTTGGCCGCAACGCCGGCATCTCGCCCGCCCCGATCAACCTCCGTATCTACTCGCCCAATGTCCTGACGCTGACGCTAGTTGACTTGCCCGGTTTGACCAAGGTGCCAGTGGGTGATCAGCCCAAGGACATTGAAAAACAGATTCGGGACATGGTCATGAAGTATATCAGCAAGCCCAACGCTATTATCCTTGCTGTCACTTCCGCTAACCAGGATTTGGCCAACTCGGATGGCTTGAAGCTGGCGCGCGAGGTGGATCCCGAGGGTCAGCGTACCATCGGTGTGTTGACCAAGGTGGATCTGATGGACGAGGGCACCGACGTTGTGGATATTCTTGCGGGCAGGATTATCCCCTTGCGCCTGGGTTATGTGCCGGTGGTCAACCGTGGTCAGCGCGATATTGAGAACAAGAAGCCCATTGCGTATGCGCTGGAGAACGAGAAGAACTTTTTCGAGAACCACAAGGCTTATCGCAACAAGTCGTCATACTGTGGAACGCCTTATCTTGCTAGGAAGTTGAACCTGGTGCGCATTGCTCCCTGGTACATGACTGTATGTGCGCTAATTATGCTATAGATCCTCATGATGCACATTAAGCAAACGCTTCCCGACATCAAGGCCCGCATCTCGTCCTCTCTCCAGAAATACTCTTCCGAACTATCGCAGCTTGGCGACTCGATGCTCGGTAACAGCGCTAACATCATACTGAACATCATCACCGAGTTCAGCAATGAGTACCGTACTGTGCTGGAGGGTAACAACACCGAACTTTCGAGTATTGAGTTGTCCGGAGGTGCCCGTATCAGCTTCGTGTTCCACGAGCTCTACTCGAACGGTGTCAAGGCAGTCGATCCTTTTGATCAGGTGAAGGACATTGATATCCGCACTATCCTCTACAACTCCTCCGGATCGTCACCAGCCCTCTTCGTTGGCACGACCGCTTTCGAGCTGATCGTGAAGCAACAGATCAAGCGACTGGAGGATCCCAGCTTGAAATGTATCTCTCTGGTCTACGATGAACTCGTCCGCATTCTTGGTCAGCTCTTGAACAAGCAGCTCTTCCGGAGGTATCCTATGCTGAAGGAGAAGTTCCATGCTGTGGTCATTGGTTTCTTCAAGAAGTGCATGGAGCCGACCAACAAATTGGTTCGGGATCTTATTGCCATGGAGACGGTGTACATCAATACTGGACACCCTGACTTCCTTAACGGACACCGCGTAAGTTATTCGCACAATCTCTGTAGCTGAGCCATACTGACCGATCAGGCTATGGCTATTGTCAACGAACGCCAACTTGGAAGCAAGCCTACGCAAGTAGACCCCAAGACCGGCAAGCCCCTCCCTCCGCGGGCCAACAGCCCTTCCGTTGAGACTCCTACCGACACCGGCAGCTCTGGGTTCTTCGGCAGCTTCTGGGCCTCGAAGAACAAGAAGAAGATGGCCGCTATGGAGCCGCCACCGCCCACTCTGAAGGCTTCTGCCGCCCTGTCCGAGCGCGAGAGCAGCGAAGTTGAAGTTATCAGTGAGTCCTGTTAAATGTCCTTTGCAGATTGGAGGCTTACACACAACAGAGCTGCTCATCACATCGTACTTCAACATTGTCAAGCGCACCATGATTGACATGGTTCCCAAGGCCATCATGTACACCCTTGTCCAGTAAGTTCGATCTCACGTGGGTTATTATTTTCGATGCTAATACAGAGCTAGATTCACCAAGGATGAGATGCAGCGCGAGCTCCTGGAGATGATGTACCGCAACAACGAGTTGGATGAACTCCTGAAGGAGAGCGATTACACCATCCGCCGGCGGAAAGAGTGCCAGCAAATGGTTGAGAGTCTATCCCGCGCTAGCGAGATTGTCAGCCAGGTTCAGTGAGTGCCAGAGTTGGATGGTTGATTTTACTTTCATACACCCGGTTGCTTTCTGTTGTCCTGGTAGCCAGTCTTTTTGGAGGGGCTCAGTCTCTTGCGGGGAGTTGATGATGCCTTATGTTTATATTTTCTTCTGATGCAAGGATTCCACGGCCGCATGGTGGATGGACGGCTGCCAAGATTTGACGAATTTGTATCGCCTAATGACTGCGGATGATTGCGGCTTGTTTAGAATTGAGACTATTTTGCAGATTAGCAGTTGCAATGTACAGTAACTCAAGGAGAGAACCCGTACTATTCAGGTTTGGTGTTCAAATGAAGCATGCTCGCTCAGGATGGGTAGCAGCCGTTCTTACAGTGGTCGCGGGGTGGAGCTCATTAGTTGGTGATTTACTACTTCTTCGACTGCCTTGACATACGCTAGCCTTCCTTGACTATCAGGATATCATCTAAAAACGGCACCCTACCTCAAGCCCTTCCTGGTCAATAATGAAATGTACATGTGTCCTTACCAGTGAATGGGATGCATAGCTAAATTGTTGGACTGGGGAGCCTTGAACATAGACTTGTATACCAAAAAGGACTTAGCGTACCAGTGAAGTGGGTCACTATCAGATAAGCCCATGTTTAGTGTGGCTCGCGTGGCCAATAGCCGCTCGGCCCGGTGATCCGAAGTATATCACTACTGTAGGAGCCATGTTGCTGGGTTGACTATAAATGAAAGGGATGATCATGTCCACGCAAGATGGCAAGCAAAAAAACGAAGAAAGCAGAATTGTAGGCCAGTTAAGTAAAGAGTGTCAAAGGCGAAGTAACACGCCGTAGTGAGATTTACCATCAGGCAACGATCATAAGTGAACGAGCTGCCTTTGACTTCTCTTATCCTCTCCACCCCCTCCTCTTCCTTTCTCTCACACACTCTCTTGTTTCCTCTTCGCCTTGTACGCTCTCCCACTTGTTCTCCATAGAACCTCTTTATCTCTCACATTCTCTCCCTTGTCTCTGTAGAACTTCATTCTTTCTTTCATCTCCCCGCTCCTCCTCCAGACCAGCAAGCTTTCTCTGCTCGACACCTCATCTCATCTCACCTTGAACGTCCCATCATCTACCACTCGATTCCAACCAAAGAAGTAAGCCAAGTAAGTTTGCACTCGCCTTAGCCACAGATCACATACTAATCATCTCAAGGATGTGCTTTGCATTTAAGTACCCCGTGATCTTCACCAACTGCACCCAGGAAGTGCGCCATTTCGCCTGGAAAGAGGTGTATTTCCAATGCTGTGACCGGTGCAACGATCCGACAGACTTCCGGCCGTACGTGCCCCACACCTCACATTCTGTAAAAAGTCCCTTCTAACTCACCCATCCCTCAGGTGTGAGTTGGATCATGTTCAGGGCTTCGTTACCATCGGCAGCTCGTACATGAGGGGCATCCCTTGCCGCCTCTGCGATTGGGACCACAAGGCCGAACAGTTCGATCCCAGAAACGGTGCCAGGCTCTTGAACGTGAGTTCTCTCCCGCCCACCTTCCTGCTTACCTCCCCCTCGCGAGAGAAGAGACACACTGACTGAAACTAAAACAGGTAATCAAGCGCCCTCATGACTACGAACTCGAGTGGATCATGGAGTACATGAACGACCTCGTCCCCGCCGGCTCTCGAGCCATTCCTCCCGTCGAAACTGAAAAGAATCCCCGCAGCCTCGTTGAATATTGGATGCCCGTTGAGGATCCAGAGGGCGATGATGATACTGACGACTCCGAGGCATCCGAGGACGATGTTGCCGATGACTTCGACATCGTCACTGATGAGGACTACACTTCCGATTTCGAGGTGCTTGACGAGTTCGAGCTGTGAGCGGGGGTTGATGAGTGCTTTTATCAGCTACGAATCATGACATCTATTTTACCATCTCCTCTGATCTGTTGCCTGTTGTTCATCGTTCATTATTCATCGTTCTTTGCTTTGAATTTGCGTGTCTGTGCTGTACTTCAATACCCCTCTGTGGTGCTTCTAGCAAGTTCTGTTGGGTCTTGATGTATTCAGCGAGCATGACTTTCTGTGTTGTTGCTTGTTCTGTGGCTTTGTGATTTATGGGGTGTTGGCTGAAGGATACGGCTGGGTTTGCTGTGGCCCCAATCTTGTCATATGATATGCATGGCTGGTCAGTCGGTATGGTATGGAGCTTTGGTGTTGATGCTTGTTTCTCAGTCTCATCTCATTTCCTCTCGTTGCTTGCTCTGGTTTCTATCTCAGTCGAATCTAGGAGAGGTTTGTGGCTGGTTGTGGCTTCCACCTTGTCGTAGGGTATGCATAGTCCGGCTGCAGCTTCTGACTATTTTCACTGCGTCGCTTATGTTTCCTTTTTCCAACGGTTGCCAGATTGGCTTGGTCGGTGCAACAGTCGTTAACATTTGACATGACATTCTTGTGGTTGGATTTAGGGCCGTTGGCGTTCATCTCGGCCATGTTTCTTGACATATCTGGAGAAAGTTACATAGCTAGCCATAATCCAACAACGTACACAAGTTTGAATCAGCTTTCGATCCACCTCAACCATCAATTTTGATCCTCTAAAAACAGACGGTCTACGCACTCGAAGAATGTCTATAGGTATAATGCCAGCCCTCCCTCTCCATATCCTCGCGGACCTTGTAATTCTCCTCCGCGATCCTCACTAACCCCAAATCCATATCCACCACCAGCACCCCTTCCTCGTCGCCCATCTGCCCCACCGATCCCACCACCGGCAACACCACCCGCGAGAGGCCCATGAACTTGTCCTCCGGGTCCTGGCCCCGCGCGACATTGGCAAAGATGATCCCGCAGGTATTTTCAAAGCACCGCGCCGTGAGGGTCGTCTCGAGGAACAACTTCTCCGACTCCGGGTTATGTTTCAGCATCGCGGGCGAGGCATCGTAGCGACTCCCTGTCGTGGGCCCAAATTAGCCAGTGTCTTCTCGAAGAGCCACAAAAACCACTCCTCCCACCCTATACCCACCGGGCGCAGCCACCACCCCCAGAAAGAAAAGAAAAGAAGAACTCACAAAAAGTCGGCAAAACCACCACCTCCGCCCCCTTGGAAATTAACTCGCGAAACGCCTCCGGGAATGCCAGATCCCAACAGATCAGCAGCCCCACCTTTCCCAGCGGCGTGTCGAACACCTCGTGCGGCTCTTCGCCGGATGACGTCAGGTACTCGCGCTCCGGGTGCCAGATGTTCTTCTTGCGGTAGTGGCCCAGGATGCGGCCGTCGTGGGAGATGAAGTACGCGGTGTTGTAGAGGAGGGCGTCCTTTTTGCTTGCAGCGGTGGGGTTGGGGCTTTCGGTGATGCTGCTGGTGGTGGTGGTGGTGGTCGACGTCGTCGTCGTTGCGGGCTGCGGCTCGTGCCGTTCGACGATCGTGCCGGGGACGATGCAGATGTGCAGCTCGCGGGCGAGGGCTTGGTAGGCTTGCAGGTATTGCTGGGTGGATGCGGCGTGGTCGAGCCAGAGGGGGTCGGAGGGGGCCCAGCCGTTTAGGTGGTATCTTTTTGGCGGGGGTTAGTTGGTGGGTTTGAGGTGGGAGTGGCCCGGGGGTTGAGGGGTAGG